ATGTTGTGTAAACTCGAAATTTCAAGAACTAAGCCAACGCGACGGGGATGTAGAGCTGGACTCAGGAAACAACAACTACCACGACCACCCATTCTACTAGCATCTTCTACACCTAATGGTCCACCTTCCTGTACATTAAGATCCGAACGGGATTTTATTTCTCTGTCTCAAGATGGGGGACATTTGAATATTTCTACATGGACAACATTAAATATTTAAGTCAGCACCTTGGATGCAGTCAGGCAGATCGCTCAAACAATAACTTCTGCCCTCACCTTTTGTAATAGGCAACACCTTCACGAGTCGTCTAATTTTGAAAGAAAAAACATACCCGTTAGAATATCACAGAACAGCATGACTCGAAATCGAAATAACGCACAAATTCAACCTATACTTGGAGGAGCATGTACAAGAATTCTCCCAGTCTGCGGGTCAAACCGCGAAAGCGTGCCGACTTCCGAGTTTCTACATGGTTAACGCCAGATCGATCAAGAAAAAGCTCGATAAATTTTTTTCACAATTGACGACGAGCGGCGTGGATGTCGGTGTTATTATGGAGTCCTGGTTGCACAGCTACATCGACAGTGCTTATATAAGTATTCCGGGCTACGTCCTATACCGGAGAGATCGTCCTGACAGAGAGGGTAGTGGTGTCTGCGCTTCTGTCACCACAGGAATCCTATGTAAGCGGAGAACTGATCTGGAACATCCTGTTTTCGAATGCATATGGTTATGGCTTCGGCCTAACCGGTTACTACGTCCATTCTCAGGCATTATATGCGGGATTGTTTACTTTCCTGAGGCGCTAGCGCCAGAAAATAGAGATCGAGTGTCCTACCTGATAGAAACACTAGACTCTGTTAGGTCTGCGCATCCGGACTGCGGCGTCATTATCTGCGGTGATTTGAACACTTTAGCCTTTAGTGACGTACTCGCCCATCATAATCTTAAGCAAATAGTTCGCGATCCCACCCGTGGAAATAGTATCTTGGACCTTATTCTAACGGACATTTGTAATCGTTATGATAAACCTGGGTACATCAGATCACGGCGCTGTGTTTTGGAGACCTAAACCATCTCGTGATATTACGGTGCGCGCTCATAAGGCCCAGAAACGCAGCGTACGACGGTTTCCGGAGTCGGCTATTAATGCTTTCGGGAGGTGGGTTTCTAGTCATCATTGGTTCACTGGTCTAGACAGTGTGGCTTCAGTTGACAGCTTAACGGAGTCGTTTAACACTGATGTGAAAACAGCAATTGATATTCGTTTCCCACTAAAGTCGGTGAAAATCCATCCCACCGACAGACCCTGGATGACATCTCGCATTAAGCAGCTCATCCTCGAAAGGCAGCGTGTGTTCCATTCTTATAGGAATG